CTTCATTACAAACGTCTTAGAGTGTGTTTAAAAAGAAAAAAGATAATAAAATTAACATATACAAAATTCAATACGATCGCTGCCCAGAATGAGCTGCCTTGGTGGAGATTTGTATTCTCAAAGTGCTTCTTGTTTATCATTCATTTCTGCCTACTCTGCACATACATCGATAAACGTGTTTACTGAGGGATTTCATAGTATGAAAATAATTAAAATAATATGTTTATTTTTTTACACCAAAGGAGGAACTATTATATAAAAGAGTCCTCTTGTGGATCTTTGTTTTTTTGTTACTTCTCAGCCATCCATAATTTGTATGTTTTTGGTAAACCAATACGCATCAGAAAACAACACGAGCCTCCACAAAGCATTTTGTGCTCTGGACTTTTCCGAGGCCACTAAGATTACTGCAAATATGGAAAGAGCTTACTGAGGTCCTGCAGGCAGCATGTGCTGAGATTAGAGTTTAGGCTATGAACAATCCCACTAGGCGAGCAAGCAGCCACTTGAGATTAAAAAAAATGTTTTAACTCAAGTCATGTTACTTTTGTTGGGTTTTCCTAAATAAATGTTATTTTAAAAATGCATAGACACACGCAGGTAAGTATCTGTAAATAAAAATACGACTTGAAGGATTTGTGAAATGCTTACTTTCAGTTCTAGCATTCCCCCACTGCAAGTCTTTGTCCCACAGTTCACTATGTTCCTGCATCGTCCTTCACTCAGTATTCATATCGAGATTCTACTCTTCACACTTGGATCTGCACCGCTGGATGGATTGCTTTTTCTCCAACTCTCTCCCTTTCTATCTGCAGGAGTTCCCTGCTGCGCACCATCCTTTCTTGCAGGTGATTGCTCAAGGAATATTGATTAAGGCAAAGATTTGCTGCTGAGAAGCCACTTTTCAAACTTCCTGTGACTTTAATGTGAAAAAAAGTGATGTGACTCCCTCATCAGTGATAAACACCCTGTTATGGATGAAGTGTACTTTAAAGAGAAGACTGTCTGTACGAATCTCTGTCTTCATCTATTTGGCTTTTTGTCAGCCTCAGTATGTCTATCTCATCCCATTTGTCTTACACACATACACTCACAAGGCAGCTTTCACACCTAATATAACGTAGAGCTTCTTGTCAGGACAGCAATATCTTCCTCTGTCTTTCTAATTGCTCTGATTAAAGTGACAAACAGGCTCGTTTTAGCTAAAGGCATATAGGGAAGGATACTATTAAGAATGTCACCATATCAGTGGTCATTACATCTGTTTAACTATTAGGGGAACAATAGCAGGCAATTAAACCATTTACATGACCTTGAACTCTTATGAACTGCTGCAATTATATCTCCTGAGTGGTTGTATTTGTTGTACATTTTATTCAACAGACAGCAACCAAATTTCAGTTTCAACAAACCTCGGTTAGTCAAAGCCGTCTTCTCCAAAAGATATGAAAACATACTGCTCACTGAGCTGGGAAGCATGCTAACTTCACTGCAATATGGTCAGAGGAAACGGGATTTTGGCAAGTTGTTAACAAGACAATATGTTCATTTTGATTAAACGTCTAATTCTTAGGTGAACAACGAAAGTGAATGCCTGTTTTGTGTTAATGATAATCCTTTCCTGCACATAAAGAGTGGAACAACATAGTTGAAGCCAGGGATGCAGTTCTTAGCCAGACTGTGATATCTGGTCTGGTTTTGGTCATCCAAACTGGAAGACAGAGAGAGAGAGAGAGAGAGAGAGAGAGAGAGAGAGAGAGAGAGAGAGAGAAAAGACATACTATACTCAAAAAGAAAATTGACTTTTCCTTTAGGGGAGCAGTTGATAGGTAAACACAAAGAGCGACTTAGCAATCCTAGAAAATTGTTATGTTTTTTCTTACTTCACACTGCATGGAGCAAGTCCATCTGCGCTACATAGTGATGGTTGGTGTGATAAGATGTAAAAAAAACAACTTCAGACTTCCAGCCAGCTCGGACATGCTGCTGTTTCACCTGCTGGTGCTTGAGCATCAATTTTAAAGTCAGGTTTGTGTTTGTGAGTGTATGTCTGTTTTGTTTTTGTTTTGTTTTTCTGTAATTCTAATGTGGTAACTACACTATACTAGACAGATTTATCTAAATTAAAAAGTGTTACCAGGTAAAAATGGGTTTGGATTTCTCCTTGCAACGCTAAAATCTCATTCTATTCTGAAGAATGAAAAACAAGCTAAAGGTCTGTATTGTCTGATATAGTAACTGGCGCCTTCGTTTAGTTTAACTGCAGGAAGAATCTGACCTATATTGGAAGCAGGCTTCCATTAGAGGCAGCTTTTTGTTTTAGGTTTTGATTTTGGATTAAGTGATAACACCAGTGTGACAAAGCTTCTGTCTGATATGCTTCCATTTGTTTGTATTGAGGCTTTGACTATTTAACATAATAGTAAATCACTAAACAGACAGATAAATGTCTCTTGTTTAAAAAAAACAAAACAAAAAACAAATTAGGCTGGTTGTCTTCCTTTCACTCACAGCACTCTTTATATACTCATGTACACAAACATAGGTATAGTTATCAAACCAGGTCTCTCTCCACCTGTGTCAACACTATGCTAATCTAATGTGAAGTTACATAAAACGCAACACAAACTGTGCATGTAGCAAAATGACAAACATAGAATAACTCATTCCCAAACTGTGCTACACATGAGAAACTTCACACCCTCTTTGGGATGCTACACATTCACTGCTCATCAATTTCACATTTAAAGCCAAAAGCATTTCATTTCCTAACAGAGTTTTATGGTAAAACATTGGCAGAAATATGAATGTGCAAAAAAAACAAAAACAAACAAAAAAAAAAGTCAGTCGTTTTTGGGTAGTTCAAAAAGACTTAGGAAAAGAAAAGAATGGATTTTAAGGCAATGCACATCATAATGACATTCATTGAAACAAATTATGGACATGGCTTAGCTTAATAATAAAATTAATGCTATATTGGATAAAACACAGTACGCTCCTAAATTCAGTAGCTTGTAGAAACCACCTTCAACAGCAATAACTTTTTTGTTGATGAATTGAGGAGGAACTTTAACCCACTCTTCTTCAAAACCTTCTTTCAGTTCATTAAGGTTTGTGGGTTTTTGTTTATGCACAGGTTTCTTCAGGTCCTGCCACAGCATTTCAATCAGATTGAGGTCTGAACTGGATCATTGCAGCACCTTGACTCTTCTTTTCATCATTTTGTTGTAGATTTGTTGCTGTGCTTGCGATCATTGTACTGCTGTGTTACCCAGTTTCAGCCGAGCTTTGTATACTCTATATAGGTTATACGCAAACAGAGTTTATGTCTGACTTAATGACTGTAAGTGCCCAGGTCCTGTGGCTGCAAATCATCACCCCTCCACTACTGTGCTTGACAGTTGGTATGAGGTCACTGTGCTACTATGCTGTGTTTGGTTTTCACCAAATGTGGTGCTGTGCATTATGGCCAACCATGTCCACTTTGGAGAAAGCATTATTTCTGAGGTTTTGTGGGTTGGTAAGATGCAATTTTGCAAACCTAAGTTGTGCTGACATGTTCTTTTTTTAGAGAGAAGATGTTTTCTCCTGGTGACCCTTCTAAACAAGACATACTTCAGTTGTTGTCTAATTATACTATTATGGACTTTGTCATGTAACCTGCTGCCTTAGCCCTGTGGAGTTTGAGATGTAGCTCTCTGAGTTTTTGCACTTCCTTTGAGCTTTGCACCGTCTGACTTTGGGGTGAATTTGCTGACTTGGCTCCACTCTTGGGAAGACTGGCAACTGTCTTGAATGTTTCCCATTTGTGAATAATCTTTGGAAATGGTCTTATAATCCTTCCCAAATTGATGGACAGCAAAAGTTCCTTATTTATGATCACTGCTGATGTTTTACTCATTGCCAGTGCATTAAAACACGCTTAAATCCTCCAGACCTGGAAACTGCCAAGACTTCTGATTCTATAGAGGTCCTCCCACTTAATGATGCTCAGTTAATCAAGTGCTCTTTATTAGCAGCATCTGGCTGCTCTTTAGCTTCATAATTGGAAGTGGTAAGGGTATACTTTGTTTTTCTGCATTATGGAACAGTTTTTGGCAAATAAATAATTAGATGCTAGTGTATCACGTGTTGTTGGACAGAAATAATCTTAACATCTGCTAAAGACCGGATGACTTTTAAGGTCCTGATAGAATGTCCTGATACATATTGAAGGAGGTTTTTCTTTTTCATTTTTATCATTACACAAAATTGTAATTTTTGGATTATTTAAAGGCCATTTGACATCCAAATTGGATGAAATGAAGACAAAGTGAGGTTTTTGATCCATTTTCAGTTTATTTCTTTATACCTGATTCCCTGGAGAAGAAAAAAAATTGCAAATAAACACATCAGCAATGACGCTGCCTGAAATTTGCATAAATGTGTCAGTGCATTAAAGGCATCATGGATTCTGATCTTCATTTTCCCAGGAGACTAAGGCTCATGCCTTATCTCTTCTTTGCATGAATAGCATCCTCGAGTTTTGCCTCTTATATCTACATGAAGTCTATATTTTCTAGGTGTTTGTAGTAGAGAGACTCTTGTGTGGCTCAGAAACTTGATTTTGAAGCTCATGAAAGTTTATTTACCTCATTTTAATCATAGCTCTTCCACATATACTCTTACTACTATTATCATTGTTTGTTCTATACACACATCTCCAAGCAAACATCAACCAATATGCGAGGGCATTTTCTTTTAATCTCCTACAATCACAAAATACCAAAAGAGAGCGTATTTTCTGAAAGTATTGCATTTCTTTCACACGCTGGAGTTTCAGAGACTGAAAATTCATGCATAATTTCTTGAAGACAGAAGTTATGACAGAGAGAATTATTACACTGACATATTTATTTTCTTTTACGGCTCATTAGATGTTGTATATGTCATTCACTGTCAGCATCAAGTAATATTTGATAAATCCAATTTAAAAAAATAGAAAATCCAGAATGCAATCATTTGAAAATCTCACAAACCCATACTTTATTCACAAATGAAAACATAGAAACATCAATTTAAAGAAATTTATTTTTTTTTTTGCCATTTTGCTTTTTGCAGATAGTAAAGGTGGAGACAGACAGGAAAGTGCATAGAGAGACAGAGGAAGACCTGCAGCAAAGGAACATCCAAGGCTGCTGCTTTCTGGCCATGTGGCGTATGGCCCACACACCCACTGAGCTAAACTGGCGGCCCAACATCAAATGTTTAAACCGAGTAAGAAAATGTACAGGACCATCTTTACCACTGTGTAATATCCTATTCTTTTAACTACAGGCATTAAATGTCTGGGGACAGAGGAGACCAGCTGGGAGTGGAATGTTTTCCCATTCTTTCCTGTTCTAGGAATCTTAGCAGCTCAACAGTCCTGGCTCTACTTTATTACATCTTTTCATTTTATGGTCCATCAAATGTTTTTAGTTGGTGAAAGGTCTGGACTGCAGTTTAGCATCCTCATGCTATCAGAGATGTGGGCTTTTGAACTGAGCACTGATAATTCTAAGTCCCTCTCCTCTTTCTTCCTTTTAGCTCAGTTTAAATGAGCTTTGGCTCAGATAAGGCGGCAGTGTTTCTGGATATAGCTTTAACCTGCATTTTTGGATGGCACTGTGAAGTGTGTTTACAGACTGTGATTTCTGGTAGTGTTCCTGGGAAAAGTGCAGTGATTTCTATCCCAGAATCAGGCCTGTTTATCGGCCTGAGGGCCTGAAGATCATGGGCACCCGATACAGACTTTTTCATTTGTCGCTTGTGCACAGTGATTACTCGAGATTCCCAGAAACATTTGATGATATTATGCACTGTGTATTCACAATTTTACATTGAAGAACATGCAGACTGATGAACTGCTCATCTTTGCTTCTGAGAAACTGCCTCTCCAAGATGCTCTTTTTATCCCCACTCATGTTACTGACTTGCTACTAGCTAAGCAAAACTTCCCTCTAGCTTTTTTTTTTTTTTTTACCACCACTTACTTTTCCAGCCTTTTGTTGAAATGGTACATTTTCTCTGTTTAAACATTTAATACATTTTTTCAAGTTTTACACGGCTTTTTCCCAACTTTTTTTGGACTTAGGTTTGTAAATACATCCACGTTTTTAATTATCCAATTCCTTACAAAACAACTTCAACCACTTATTCTGTTTCATCCTTTCATACACTTCAATAAAAATAAATAAAAAGTGACGACTGAAACACTTTATTTAATATAACAAATTTGAGAAGTGAGAAAACTGACTGTTTCATCTTGTTGGCTTCCTCTCTTTTTTTTGGCACAGCCCCTGCACAGCAGTCTCTCTGCTAATATGAATCTGGATGTTATCAATCAATTAGAGTCAATAAACAGTTATGGGGCAATGCTGTGAGTTGGATACATCCCTATATCTTTTGACTCACCTCATTAACCATATCATTACTGTGTAGCATGCTTTCCGGCCCGTGAAGTGCCCTAGAAGTGTCTCTGTGGAAACTAGGAATTATGAGAGTAGTGAAACTGCTGGTGGGGTTTTTATTCATGTGGCTGAGACACAAATACTATATAAGATTTCAGATGGGAGGATAATTTCCACTAGTTTGTCATAATAATGTCACTTTTTTATTTTTATTTTTTTTGGAGAGACATTTTTTGTGTTTGCATGTAATGCGAGTGACTGCTCGTTTATTAGTGGCTGATGGCTTTTAACATGTGCTGCCAGCCAGACTGTGGTGACAAAAGCTGTTTATTTCCTTAGCCATTATGAAGCCAAGCATTAGACGTCACACCACACTCAAGCACAGTGCTGACAAGGATAGGGATACTGGATAATAACCTTCCTCTCTCCTTTCTTGACTCACTATTAATGAAAGCAGAATTATCGTCCAGTGAGTCACAGACTCTGATGTGATTGACTTGTTTTCCAAGGCGTTTATTGAGTGCATTTTAGTACAATAGTTCTCAGAAAGTTACAGCTTACAAACTCTTGACACATACTTGTCACAATTTACAAGTGGCTGCTATACACAAACTAAAAAAAAAGAAAGAAAAAGGAAACCAATGTACCTGTGCACACAATGTCTGTACACACAAATGTGCCTGATATGCATACATCCATTCTCTCTTGAACACACAAACAAATAAACTGTGACATGTGCACACTCACAGTCAGCTCCCCCCATCCACTGCTCATCACACAGAGAGAGGTTGTGACTGGCATACTCAAAGCTTTTGGCTTCACCTGTTCTCACTGGCCCGCTGCGATTCTTCTTGGTGTTCACTGTGCGCATCCATGAGAATATAATTGTGAAGTGCCGGGTGTATGCCGGTTTTATAAGTGTGTAAATCTTTGAGTTCCCAGTCTGAAACAGAGGAGAAAAAGGAGAACGGAGAAGTTTAACGAGTTTCGTTTTGCAAGGAGTCACGCCAAATCATTTTCGGCCTCACGCCGTTCTGATCCATAAATGACAGGCATGATTTTTGCTGCTAAAAGCATCGTTGGTCACTTTTCAGACAGTTGCAGCACATGGAACGTTTAACAAGCAAGTTCTTGTGTTTTCTATCAGTGTGTGATGAATGGCTCCCATATGAAACAGCTTTCAGAGGAAGATGGCGAACCGCCTCTCCATTCATCACACTGGAGTGTCATTACAGTCAGATATTTAGAAAGACAAACAGAGCAAATGGAGAAAAAAAAAAAGAAGAATTACACTTTTGTATAATGAATACGTTCTATCATCTCATTCACAGGCTCTTGGGTTGAAAAGCAAATACATGAGACTGAGCTGAATAGAGGACTAATGCATTCAAATTGATTCACTGGCTTCAGTGAAAGGGATTTATGCCAATCTTGAGGAGCTTGTGATTATATTTAGGAATACTTGGTAAATCAATGACTCGGAGAATTGAATAGAAAAAGCAATTGATTTTGCCCGTGAGCCAAACCAATTGCTTGATTACAGTATTTTCCATTACCAAACTAAAGCAAATTAACATTTATATAATGAAAGAGATGTTGCCACATAAACCACACTGTGAGATAAAAGAGTTTGATTCACTTCAATGAACTAACTTTCTTACTTTCATCAAAACCATCCTTTGTTCATGCCATGTCTGCCATGCAACCCCGCCCTCCTATTAACTGAATCATCCTCCTCTTTCTATCGCATATGCACACACTCTGTCGGGTTTCAGCCCACTTTCTTCTCATTAAGCATCAGCCTGGAAACCAGACGTGAGAATAAACTAGCTGAGGGTTCCTCAGTGTTTGTGTGTGTGCGTGCATGTGTTTGTGAGTGTATTTGTTTTTTATGCTCCCATCAATCTCCCTCCCCGTGGCTGATCAGATGCCCGTCAGACAGGGGGCCTTAGCAGGTGTTTTCACCCCTGCCTGGGCCCACTAGAGCATGGAGCCAACCATTTCTCAGGCCAGCTCTGGCCCAACTCAGCTCCAGACACAGCCCAGGACAGCTTGGTTACACCCAGGATAAACGAGCTGGAGATCTGCCAGCCAGCGGGAGTAGTCGGGGAGAGAGGGCAGGACAGACAGAGGAGGAGGAGGATGACTTGAGAGGGCTAAGTACACTTAATAATCTGCTAATGGGCCTGCCATCAATTTCTAATTTTGGATGCAAGGTGGTTAGGACCGTCGTCACTCATGTCTGTTCAAATAGAGCCAAAAGGGATTTCAGCAGGGTCACAGCTACTGCAAAGAATTGATACCAAAATAGTCCATAATTGCGAGCTACAGGGCTGTTCTACCAAGCCTGCACTGAAAGATTGTTGACTCTCATTTTTAATGATCACTATTTTTAAAGGTTTTATTTAAACAACAATATTGTGATTCGTTTCCAAAAGCCTGGCCCTGAAGCAAATGACCAGCAAAAGGAAAAATAAGACTAACAGCAAAATCACAAGCATCATCATTGCCATGCTAAGAAAGAGAATCATCCTTGTGCACAACTCGGAACTATCCCTTAAATATATCCCAAAATAATGACTTTTGGGAATAATGTAGAGACCTTACAAGATTAGTACATTTCTAAGTGACAATTCATGCAGCTAAGAGTTCGAGAAATATTCCCACAAGTACCGTGGCAATTTCCTTTAACTTGCCTAGCCATTTGGCAACTGCATATAGCATGAGTGCACAGATGAACTCAGCAGCTTAGCTACAGCAGTCGATTGGAGGCTGTGCTACGCTGTGAGCAGTGTGCCCATGTGGGCTGTTTAAGTCTGTGTGTTCCTCGAAATGGCATCGGGTGTCTGTTGGCAAACTTCAGCCCAGATGTTCATTTTTCACCGTGTAGAGAAATGATGCTGATTCGCAGTGATTTCCAGTGCCCGCTCTCCTATGCGTTTCAAACTCGCAGAAAATCTCACCACGGCCTAGACATTTGCAGCGCCCACGAGAAACATTAACTAGATTTTCCCGAAATAAAATGTGCCACATATAGAGCAACTCGACTCCAAGTTGTGTTCTTCCTGCGCGATCAGCTGGCACTCACCGTGAATTTGGGCCAGGGGCAGGAAACGGAGGATCATTCCCCCTGTGGATGGTGCTGACCGCTCCCGAGACAAACAACAGGTCAAGAAAGAAGATGAAACATAAAACATATCTGTACAACTAAGTGCTCACCAGCAAGAGACAGCATGTGTACACCCACATTTAACATTATCCCCAGTTAATGGATAGTTTGTCAGTTATTTTAACTCCTACAGCAATTTTCATACAATTCTACAATACCAATTCTTCAGCCATTCTTTTTACATTTTCTCCAGTCAGCCCAAATTGTCCTTAAATCCCTGGAGCAACGAGACATACAATCCAGTGCCCATTGTTCAGTTATCCAAAGGAAACTGGAATCTAAACATTGCATGTGTCTCAGTCAGAATTCAGTCAACATGTCTTTGCCAAAATGCAAGCATAGAGTTCTGTACATACATATGCATTTATATCACCTTCAATATGAAGGTTTATTATGAAAGATATAATCATATTTAGCAAGAGATAAACATATTTATATTCTCTGAAAGTGGGTGGCTTGGGTTAAGAAGTCCTTTAGCAAGGCCCTCCACCCAAGACTCCACAGGTAGTGTTAAAGATAAAATACAAGTGGACTGCATCTTGCTATAATGATAAAACAGACAAACAAACACAAGGTAAAGGATAAAAATATAACTAAGCTCTGATCTTTTTTTGTTTTTGTTTTTTTGTTACCTGTCCATTTACAATACACTTTTTAAAACATTTTTTTAAACAAGTACAACATGATGTGAAAGTTGAAAATGGTGCTCTGCTGTACATCCCTGTATGCTTCTCCCTCTAATTATTTCCACTGGTAGGTGTTTTGTTTTGTTTTTCTTCTTTTTTTCTTCTTCTTCTGGAACTTATTTCTCGCCAGGTCAAGGCATCTTCATTGCACAGACTGAAGACAGGATGGGTAAAATCACGCGTCACATGTTTCTAAATGCCTCACGTTTCAGTTTAAAGTTTTAACACCTTCTAGTCCACATGAAGCAGAAGTACAGTATCACTCACTTTACCACAGTTTGAAACTCTGAGAAGTTCTTTGTGTTGATGTCTGATTGTTGGTTATTTTGGTTCAAAATGGCATGAATGGTAGTTCATAACCACAACAACGGACATTGATTTCCCTTTTGTGATGAATGGATAAACAGTATCAAGTCTGGACCCTGAACTCCTGTCGTGGATTGCATGAAGTGTGACAGCTGTTAACCATGTGGTAGTGTAGACCCTGGTCTCCTGTTGTCATGATAGTGGATTAGATTAAGACAATAGTTTCGACTCTGGCGCGTTCCGATGGATCGGGGGTCATTCGAGGGCTGCTATTTTTGTTGGTCCTTCGAATGCTGCCTGTTCCATGGCACAGCGCCTCCGGTAGTCATGCCATCGGCGTAGATGACTGGCTCATCTGCACCCTCATGGACTGGATATTAGTAAGGATTTTCTTCTGGTGGCCTGCCAGGGTCACTCCTATTCTCAGCAAGTCTCTACAGAGAAAGAAACATGGAGACAGAGAGTGAAAAGCAGGGTATTTTTGTTTCTTTCCTTTTTTTTTTTTTTGTAGAAAAACACAGGATCTCCAATAATTTGGAGTTAGAATAGATGATCTGAATATGAAGTGCAAACACCTGCAAGAAATCCCCCATCACAACTCAACGAGCTCACACGGACTTAACGTCGCTACAAATGAACGCACAATTTCAGAATGGAAAGCTAGTAGCAATGAACAAAACCCACAAATTTACTAAATTAATTCCATCTCTGAGAGAAGACGCAGTAGTGCGTGTTGCTTTGAATTGCAAAGACATTGCAGAAATGCTACCAGGCCCTGAGCATATATTTTTAATAAAAAATGTTGGAATGAATTTACATTTTCAACATAATTTTGTAGGCCAAGCAACATTGTTAATTAAAATGGATGAAGTGCAATATTTGTGTCTGTTGGTACCACAAGTGCTCTGAGAAATGCTGTCATGACCAGCGCTTTGAAGCACTTCACAGACACAGCAGCGGCAGCAGAAGTGAAAATATGCATCTTTAAAATGTGTATATAGAGGATAAACATTCATGTCTTTTTTTTTTTAGAACACTGTCAACACAAAATGTTTAATTATTAGTACAGATAAGAGTTGTAATACATAGCTTGCAAAGATGTACATTTTCTTACCACGGTGAGTGCGTTATTTCGTCTTACAATGTGTTGTATTTTTAATTCCCACCGAGGCTTTAACTTTGATGCAATCACTTGAGTCACTGGGTGCATTTATGCTAAAAATACATGCACTTGACACTGAGTCATTTTATAAAAGTGTGCCCATCAAAAGCTATATGGGTCTGAAAACCCGTCATTTGCACACAAGCAGTTGAACTCACTCTGAGGTCATTTGTGCCACCAGCTGCAGGGAGGTAAAGCCTGAGTTGAGGAAGTTGTCTCTGTACTGGCTCATCTTGATGGCAGCGAGCCAGTCCTCGACTGAGCTGAAGGTGTTGACGTCGGGTATGGATCTGTCCAGCAGTGGCTGAGAGGGCCTGGTGCAGAGGAGAACACCAAGAGCAAGGCGGGGAGGAAGATGAGATATAGTTGGGCTTTGATGCAATATTAAGCACAGACTTAAAGAGAAGGAGAGTAAAGCTGATACTGGTGTTTTCATGGGTGTGTGCCATAGGGTGCAAGGAAACTAGGGAGAGAGAATTTATTAGTGAATATTGGAATGTATCTCAAATATAAAGTGTAAAGGGATTCAGTATCATGAGGCACATCTGCCACTCCTTCTTTGAATGCCACACAAGAAAGATTTTCTGCAGGTAATCGGTAACTGGTCGCAATTGCTTGGCTTTAAAATATGTGGAAGCCTGGAAAAAAAGTAGTGCAGGAACCTGAAACTCACAGTTCACGGACAGACAGACCACATCCAATCTGGCTGACGCTGAGAGAAACTGTGAGGACGGGTGCCAGAGATTGTACAAAACAAGTCCAGTATTTCACAAAAAAGTAAGGAAAAAAAAATACGTGCTCTGAATGTGTTCTGAAAATATATGTAAATGAGGTGTTTCATTCCATTTTTTATCTTTTTGAAAACGTGTTTTGCTCCATCTTCACGGGGTAAAAAAGTGAGAGTTCCTGAAACCAGTGTTTAGGTTGGATAGGAAGGAGGAAAAGTGCAGTTTGACGCAATCAATAGCAATAAATTCATGCTTAATTCATGAGAAGATAAAACGCTGCACATATGCATGCTGGGCTCATTCGAAACAAACAGTGTGTTAAAGACTACATGCATAAGGAGAAGCGTCAGTGTGTACTTAATGTCAGTTTTTGGATCAATTTGTTTCTTACGTGTACAGATTTTTATTTTTTTACTCACACTGCAGGAATATTGGCTACAGCTTTGAGGCTGGCGGGGTTACGGATCATCTTATCCAGAGTACTGACGATGTCTGTGAAGCGGGGTCGCACGTTGCGGTCTTTTTGCCAACAGTCCAGCATCAGCTGGTGCAAGGCGCTGGGGCAGTCCATGGGTGGTGGCAAACGGTAGTCCTGCTCAATAGCATTAATTACCTATGAGAGAGAAAGCAAGATGTTGTCTCTTACAAATGAAGATAGCTGCTAATTCTACACCATATACCGCACTTGTAGTATGTCTCTCAAACACTTACTGTCAGTAAGAGTGTTTTCTACAAGCTGGTTACATTTTTTTAATAATTTGACTTATTTTATGGCTGAAACTCAATCCTGCCTCATCACAATGCAACAAGAACCCAACTGCAACCCTCCCCATATGGACACTCCCTCTGGTCAATAAAGTGACAGTTTGCATTCAGGATGATGTGCCCTTCCTCTTGACTCTATCCAATCACATATCACTCCTATAGGACAGATTGAGGAAAGAGAGGGGACAGAGAGCAGGGGCAGTGTCACTAGAAAGGAGCCCCTGGGGGGGATGGGCAGATTGCATATAATTAACACTGTGAAGTACAGCCACTTGACACATGACTTTTAAAAGCTTCACAAGCTATCAGGACTCATTAAAAAGACGTTATGACAAAGAATTTAAGGGCAGTTAGAGTAAAAGACTTCTATTATATAAGTTTGATCAGAACTTGACAGAAGTGGAGTATCTTCACCTTGTCTATGTTAAATAACACATAGACAATGAGATCACTTTAGATATATTTAAAGGAAATATGCAATGTTGATTCAGTAGCTACAAAAGCAGACGCTGCAAAGACTAATGATTACCAAGATTGCTGCAAATTGATGGAACCGGTGCTCACAAATATCCACATTATCCACACTGTCTGTAGATTTAATCTTTTTTTTCTTTTTTTTTTTGCTTACTTGCAAGATGAAAGTCTGATGAAAGATCGTGTGTAAAAGATAGTCATTAAAAGTTAGGTGCTGCTCTGTATATCGCCAGCTCCACCCTGGAGTTGAGTGCACCTCAGCAGATTCTTGACAAATGGTGCATTAGAGAAGAGAACGCACAAGTGAGGGGATATGAGTTAGGAGGGGGTATAGAAAGGGGCTTTGATGCAATATTAAGCAAAAGGGATTTCAAGAGAAGAGGAGAAACAGAGGTTATGGTGTTTGTGTGGATAAGTGAGAGGATGCAGGATAGAGAAAGAAAGTGTGCGTGTGTGCGTGCGTGCGAAAATTTTTGTGAGAGTGTGTTTTAAGTGTGTAAGAGAGTGTGGACTGAGCAGCCGGACATGCTGAGTGGTGCTAGTCCCACCAGGCAGTGTTTGCTGCTGGCCCACTGAGGCAACATCTGCTGGTTTGGACGGTCCTTGTGGAGCGAGGTCCATAGAGGCCTGATGGTTGGCTAGTTGTCGCACTAAGGGAGCTAAGGGAGAGAGACCTCATAGTATGGGACTATATCCAATGGTTGCGTGTGTTTGTGTTGGTGCCTGTGAGCGTGGACGTTATCCAAGCGGACATGGGGAACAAAGCAGAGCTCTCAGCAATCATTCATTGCTCTCAAAAGCTGGCCAGGAAGGAAAGGGGATAGTGTGAGGCTGTGCCCATAATAAGTCTGCTTTCAAAGTCAGAGTCAAGGGCATCTTCAGTAATGATGCTTTGTGATGCAGGCTGATAAAAATGTGTGATTTATTACAGCTTCCTCCCTTATGAGTTACCCTTGATTGTGTATCTATAACCGCATCTGTACGGAAATGGCTGTTCAATTTAATGAGGCTGTTTATTCAGATTCAGGTTTATTCTTTCTTCTATCGGAACTCGGAGACATGATAAAACTTAACTTAGATGTTGAGTTTTTGGGAACATCTCATGAAATGAGTGCTTAAAATCTTTAGTGCTGATTTTATGTTTAATTAGTACTTAACTGACTTTGTGTTGTACTACACCTGCTCGTCCCAACTGACTTGAACTCCATTTACAGTGTAATATCCTGCCCAGACATGCTTTTTCAAAATGCAATCATAATATTTAAGAAAGTATTTGTGTAGTTTTAACCACTTACATCCTGGTTGGACATGTCCCAGTAAGGCCTCTCTCCAAATGACATCACCTCCCACATGACGATGCCGTAACTCCACACGTCACTGGCCGAGGTAAATTTTCGGTAAGCGATGGCCTCTGGTGCTGTCCACCTCACTGGGATCTTCCCACCCTAAAAGAATAATAAAAAAAAGAGTTGAATTTCTAAGTTTAGATTACACATATTACAAAAAAATGGGCGTAGCTTTAAACCTCCATTCTTTTAAAAGGCCAAGAGAGGTAATACACGTTGTTGCAAATAGACTTCTGTTCCTCTAAAAGTCTATGAGAAAATGGCTTTCTGATGTGATTTGACTTGTCTGTGGTGGGTGTGGTTCAGGAAGTTGTCTGAATCAGAAGATCAGTGGTTCGATCCCCGGCAGTCTGCACATCAAAGGTTCCTTTGATTCTGAACCCCGAGTATCCCCTGATGGATGCAACCATGTGCGTGCGCAAATATTAGATAAGGTGCTTGGATATAGAAAAAAAGCTCTTGGATGAATGAGGCTTACAATGAAAAGCATTTTGAGCGCTCAGTCAGAGTAGAAAAGCACTATGTAGGCATATTTCAGGTCATACTATATAAAACATTAAGTCTATTTAGTAAATTTTGGTCAATTCGAAGCTGAGAAAAGAGGATTATCCAGTAAATGCTCATTGGCTACAGACTTGTGATTGACAGGTCAGTAGCCAGCGAACGTGTGGTTTCACAATCTGATCTGCCACTCGCCATCAGATCCAGTTTAAACATGTCAAGACAGTGACGCAGAAAGTGCTCATCTTGAGGCATAAAAACAGTGATGTCACAGTAGCTACATCCATCCTTTACACTGTCTATGGCTGAGATCACTCTCTTACAAAACAATATTATTTTCAGCTTTAGTATGCTGAAGTCAGCCCCTTTCCTGAAACCCACATCAGTACTCTCAAGGTTCAAGGTTCAAGGTTCTTTATTATTTGTCACATGCATAGTTATACAAGTATAACACACAGTGAAATGTAGCCTGACATGCTCCTCGACATGTGCAAAAATTGGGGGG